TTTTCTGTTTATAAACCGTAACTGACATAAGTCATTTATTTTCGTTAATGGCGAGATTTATGGAATCATTAATCACTTAAAATCACATTATAGCTCAATAAGTGCTGTACCAGCCATTAACACGCACCAAAGCATACATTTTCTTACATTTACAAATCTTATTCCTTGGGTCTAAATACAAACCAGAATTCATTTATTTTTTCCTTTATTCTGATAGGATCTCAGGCGTGAAGGAAAACGATTTTCAATGTGCCAGTTTATGTTCCGTTGTTTTCAATGCAAAAAACGCTGAAAAATTCCCGGAATATATTTTTTTTAATTGTAAACGCATTTACTGTGAGATCTCGCTTCGAAAACTAACAGCGCAACGAAGGACTTCTGAGCAGTCGACAGTTTTACAGCTGCTCAAAATGTGGTCTGGTGTAGTTGATCACGGCCATCGGAATTTGCGTATTTCGTCCATAACCTGACACACTTCGATGGGAGTCCAGCGAAGGGCTTCCATTTTTGAACAAAATATTCTATTGACGACTTTTAATCTTGCATTCGTTAATCCTGGCGAAGCTGCTCTCAAACCACACAATTGATTATACTGAATATTAGTACAGTCTATTCTGTGAGGAATTCTTTTATTTATTAACGACGTATTAATTTCGCTTTTTATGATTTATTAAAATCACAGTGCCTAAGAATTTGTCCATGTAGCGCTGGATAAATGTCATTAGAAAACAATTTTAACTGCGTTCCATAAAAAGTGGACTCAGCTACATCCGATCTTAGTTGTCTTCAGAACCAAGATCTACTTTAATTACAGGTGAAATAATTTATATTAAATTACAGACATTTAAGTAATAAATAAAAGAGTCTCCACCCTGCAGACGTGGTGTGGTGGGTTCGAATCCCGCTTGGTACGTGTCTACTCTCCCGTACAAAGGATTTATGACTGACGCGGGGCAGAGTATGAGGTAAGTCACAGATGTGTCTATGCCAACTGCTGAGAAGTTCGAATCTTCATGAGTGTGGGCATCCTTAAGCATGAAATTAATATTGACGTCTGGATGGACACCCCTTGCCTGTCACAATTTTACTGTAAACATTTTGACTTACCCTTCGTGAATGCCTAGTAGCGGATTGAGGATATAAATATAAGGGTTTAAACGCGGGCGGAACACGGCAGAGAAATTATCAAAATGTAGAGCAAAGTAAGGAAATTAGTTAATTAAGAAGTAGGATTCAATGCTGATGTCTGCTGTTTACAGGAGCAATTAGCAATTAACAGCTATTAAATGTGTCTAAATTATTTGCCCAGTGAAATTAATCAGTACTTTTTTTAAAAAAAATTATGAAGTTAAGTCTTCATCTTTAATTGGTAAGATACGTAGCTTTTTACTAACTGGATTTGATTTCTCAAGAATGTAATTTTCCATACTATAATTCAGTGGAGAATCGCCCGGATGATAGAGGCATTAAGCATCCCTGAAACGTCGCTCATGTTCTGCCAGAATACACGGCGCAACATTCCACGAATAGACAGTTTCAGGTAACTTGTTGTTTGTGTCTGAAATATTACGTCATATTGAAAATGAAAAAAAGTTCAATATCTGCGGGTGATTTTTTTTAAAATTAAAAATATAAAAGTAAAGCTTGAGTCTAAAACACACTTTGTACAGAACGTGTTTGGAAATAACAGGTTTTTGTTCAGTTCATGTTAGAAGTTGCCGTAGTGAATACTAGGTTATAGCATCAGAGGGCCATTAGTTTGTTCATGACAATTCCAGACCCAAGGAAGCAATAAGCATCCAAGTTTATTACATTATTTCCCAAGAGTACATATTTCTATGCCAGTTTTGTGAAGGGGCATGCGTGAAGGGAAATTTAAACAGAAAGGGAGTCCACAAGCTCAGGACAAATATTTTAACGCGTGCAAACATTTGAAAAGTTAAATTTTGTAGAAGCAGAATGTTTAGTTTTATTACAACAGATACGTATAAAAAACCAGAAACTTCCGAATAAGTGTGAATCATGCCCCGTCATCAGTCTGATGTCTGAGTTTTAGACGCATGTCGGTGGAAGATTTACTCTAAGCGACGCGATGCTTTGGCAACTAATCAGGAATCAGCCTAATTAATTATAAGAGTGTGTCTCGCTTCAGGCAGTCACATGAACCTAATTCTAATCTAAGGAAGACCTTAAGAACTTCGAATTTCATAATTAGTGTAGCCTCGCCTCTACATGGGGGATGTGCGCATAATCACTTGTCAATGAGTTTTATAAAAGCTTACAGTGGCCCGCGAAATAGCGAGTGGCCGTTTGTTTCAATGCATGTCAATATTCGTCTCCGAATAGTGGTAATATTTATATGAGGATGTGTAAAGTGTGATTTTAATTAATTTAATATTTTGTCCAGTAAACCAGTTCACTAAACTTCAGTCCATGATTTCTCTAATTTGAAACAAACGGGCCACCGAAATCCAAATGAACGTTCACGTCTTCATGAAGATCATAATTTTGTTTTAAATTTACAGGTAATATTAATTATGAGCTGTAAAGAATTAATAAAATTTCGATTATTTTCTGGTTTATCCACTGTATTCGTGTCACCTGTGCTTACTAGGCATCTACAAAACGCGAATGTGATAAAATCGAATGGAATAAAGCCGAGACGCGGTCATAAAAATGACCCCGCTACATGGAACTGAATATCAGTTACAAAAGCCCAGCATCCACTAGTTCGAGGCCACGCTCCATTTAAGTCTTACGTTCTTGTACAAAAATGCAAATGGTAGAATATCGATGAACGTTGTAGTCTGCCTGCTCCGTCAAAGATATTCTTTTCCCTCTGTCAACCGTCCCTCTCTCGCCTCTGAATGAAACTAGGTCAGGCGATGGTGCAACCAGCTGTCGGTGAGAGAATGCGCCATTTGTAAAGTGAGCTGCCACACAGAAAGCGAGGAAATGGAGTAGAAGTTAACGGCTTCCCCGCTAGGAGCGCTACTGATTCTTCTGCCTCCTGTAGCGTCAGCGTTAGCCTGGAGGGAAATGGTTCAGTCATAACTCAGTTGGCAACGCAACATGGCGACGGGATCCGCGCTTTTGGCGGGGAGGAGGCCATGTTTTTCGTTTATGAAAGGAAGAAACATGGTCCTGACGGACTTTTACGTTATGCAACCACTCTGAAAGATAAGTTAATGTGTTTGTGCCATACTCACGAGGAAATAGTTTGCTGGGAAGTGAAAACAGTTGATGATTATCTGTTCCGAAGCACCACGTCTCATCCTACTTCCCCACAAATCAATTTCCTCGCCAGTCGACGGAATGATAGACGAACATTCCCTTCAGCTGAGAAGTTACGTAAGTTCCTCTCGCAGCTTACTGATATGTAATGAGTACACACGATTCATAGAAACACGTCTAGAAATCTAACAAACCTGTCGTTCTACATAATCTAAATACGAGTTGCAGGCAGTATCATAGAGCCTTGCAATTCTAGTGGTGTTACGTGTAGTCTTTTGAAATGTGTAATCTGACAATGGAATGTAATTTATCTCATGGATTAGCATTGTGGGCTCATGTGTAAATTACCATACAACGCCGCTGCGCTCCCAGTCCAATTTTGTTGAATCTTTGCTCGAAACAGCAAAGTTTATTGCGAGAAGTGTCCTTCTGTAGTAATTTTAGTCGTTTCCGCCAGGGAACTGCCACATGCGTACTGAAAGCGCACGCAGACCGACATACATTGTCACGTTGTGAATCCACTTGGCATCCATAATCCGGCGTTGTAAAATGGGGTAATCCGCCATTAGACAGTATTCTCTCGTGGAAACTTTGACAGTACTTTCCTTAGAACTATGATTCCACGGAACATAATTTAGGCGTTCTTTACGCTTAATTCCAAGTTAAGAATACCTTATTCGTACATACTGTCCGTCCGTATGTCGCATTTTTCAGCAAAGGTTGTGATGCCATCTCTGTTCTTTCTCGAGAAAGTTGTCCATAATCGCACTTATTTTCCTAATAATTTGTTATACCAACATGACGGATGGTCAAAGTAGTGATCTGGGAGGATGATCACCTGAGATGATGTCATTACCACAGTTGACGTCACTGCTCTGATGTCCTCCTGAATCTATACAAATCGAGAACGGCTGAACAGATTTTCATGAAAATTGGTATAGGCGTTTTGTAATTGGATATTACTACACACTAACGTAACGGACGCTCAGAGCTGCGAGGCCAGATGATGATTCTCTTCAACGAAAACCTTGCCTTTCGTGCTACCATGTACCAGTTTCTAAACGAACTAGCCATGCTGCCATCTATCAGCGGCCGTGTGAACTATGTCTCCTATCCGTCTGCTGCGATGATCAGCCGACCGCATAATCTACCAATGGTCATATGAACTATCCGTGTTGCCATCTATCAGTAGCCGTACAAGTTACACAGACAGTGGCGCAAAGGACACATTTAGAAAGTCTGTGTATTTACATGATGGAGCTTTCCAGTCTTGTTATCTGTGTGTCACTTCACTTTCCTAGTTTACCACCTGTGGTCAAACATTTTTTCCTGTAAAAGTGTCTCTTCTTTGCTGTAGAAAATGTACAAAATATTTTCACGATGTGTAGTGCCCACTGAACACGAGAGATTCTATATTGATTTACGCTCATCTGATGGTTTTACATTAAATATTTTTGGTCTTTTGAACTTTCATTTTATACTCCATTGACGAAAGATGGTTATTGACTGCAGTGACATTGTCTCGCCCTAAGAATCCTTCCTCTGTAGACATTCAGCTCTTGTATTGACTGCCAGCCTACTTTCGATGGGAAAGATTGTTTCTGTTTTCAGGGCACACTCGCTGGTGGTTGATAGCTCTCCGGATGTGGACCAGATATGAGGACAGACAGACAGACGGTGTGAACTTGGTCGTGAGACAGTCTGCCAGAATTCGTTTCACGCTTTAATCCTAGTTTCTTATCTTCACGTGTGTCTTTGTGTTCCAGCTTACGGGAACCTGGGGTCCGTGTTGAGTTCCCAGGGCCGCGTCGAGGAGGCGGAGTGGGCCTACAGGATGGCCCTAAAGTGGCGCATCAACATGGCAGAGGTTCATTATAATCTGTGAGTACACGAACCAAGTATTTTCTTAAAAATCTGCTCTCCTTAGACGTTTTATCAATGTTAAATAACATCATGAACCCAAAACAGGAAATTGATCAGGAAAGCGAGACGGTGAAAGACACTCAGAATTTTAAACAAGACTGAAAATGTATACTCTTTGGACAACACGCAAGTTCTCGCTATACATCATTTATCGTTGCCACTTTAAGCTTATATAACTATTGTAATTAATACTAAAGGACGCATTTAAGGATTTCGAATCTCCGAATGCACCGATGAGTAGCCTCCCCATAAAGCTTTACTAAGCTGGGTCTGAGGTTTTCACGGCGGCCGGTACTCATCGACCTGATGATGGAGGTAGCAAAGACCTCCGAAACGTTGCTAAACTTCTAATTGACTATACGCTGCTGCAACCCAGAAGGCAGCCGTCTTCGAACTCTCCGAAGAGAAAATTCCTTGTCCTACAAAATTGGGTGGAGGATTAAGGAATGGGGTATATTTGGCATGGTCCAGACGAGAATGGTGCAGTGATATGAAAGGACAGATCTGCAAATGTAAGAGAAAAGAGGTCATTAATATTTTCTTGTGATGTGAGGTTAGAGTTGGCAAGGGAGGCGCATACAGAGAAATAGAAAGGAGTGATTTGGCATGATTTAACGCTGCTTTCTGTAAACAGAGATTTGGAAAGAATCTGAGAAAGGAAAATGCCCTCTCTGTAGCGAGGGTGAAGATGCTGTATATACATCATTACAATCTTCGGAAACAATGAAGTGGTAACTTAGAATAGGAAGTTATACTATTGCAATTGACGAATGTAGCAGAATAATTGTATAAAATTATAAGTAAATGGGAAAATATATCTGGAAATATGGAAGGGGGTTAGATTTATCGTTTTAAGGTAAATATTGTATATTACAAAAGCGAGCAAATTTCCACCGTCGTACAATAGAGCCTGTATTTTTCGAAACACTGACTAGGGTTGTTTACTGCAATAGAAAAATGTCCTCTTGAATTTTACGAACGCGACTGATGGCTACAGAAGTACAGCACAACTTAGTTGGAATGAAACGATTTAAATGTCGTAGGAATTCGTCTGTGATCGTATTATTTAAAGAGATGTGTGGCCTTCCCAATCCCTAGGTTTGAAATCTACTGACTATTTATGTGGGGCAAGATGTAAGGGCAGGTCTGCAAGAACAGCCCACAAACACTAGTTCAACCAAAACAAAACTGGAACGGGACTGAGTCAACGTCTCCACATTTCTTAGAATTTCTACGAAAATATCCGAACGAGTTCGGTTTTGTGTCCACCGGACGACAAGGGCTGCTTATCACTTGTAAATTTTAACTCTTTGTTTCGTGTATCGACGTGCAGTTTTCGTAATGCTTGTGACTCGCTGCATTCTTACGTTTCAAACAGAAATGTTTATTCATTCCAAAATTCCTCTGCGTCCGCCCTTGTTCCTTGCTACTGATTGTATCTCGTGTGCCTAGTTTCTCTGCTTAATTCGCCTTCTGCTCGTGAAGTGCGTCGTGCAGTGGCTGGTGTCAGCCCAGCGGAGTGAAGCCATGTTCCCTCGCGCTGACACAACGCGACGTCCCGTTGACGAAGAGGCACTTGAGAGAAGCTGAGTCTCTCTCCACGCATACATGACATGGGATCTCCATCAGCATTCCGAACGGTCCATTGAGTAGGGTCCTTCACACAGAGATGCTGGAGGGTCTCAATTTTCCATCCGGTTTACTGCACAGCTCTCGGACCGTCATCGCAGTTCAAAATGACAAAAGATGCACGGCGACTACAGCGCCTCTGCTGATAAATGCAAGCATTTCGAATTCAAGACATTCACGCCCTTAATATCGATTCTTTCTTAATTCTTTGGACTATTTCATGACGATGTTTCAACTCAAAGTAGTCAGGCGCGGTATGAATAAATGTATGAAGGGTCTAAGGAAAGCCGTGGTAGGTTAGACGGTTCTAAATTTTAAAATATGTTTCGTGCGTTGACCCTTCTGCGGGCTTATTTGGGGAATATGGTGCACATACCGAAGTATTCTGGCGCCAGTTTAATATCATAATTGTGATTACTATGTCACTCGCATTTTACGCGATTAGCAGGAACCTAACCTAACCTTGTCTAACGAGAGTCACGTGGTGTCACCTGTGTTGATCGAAAACGAGAGACCCTTCGAATGTTTCCCGAATACTTCTGCAGTCTGAAGTGGTATGTGTGCGAGCACTGGGACACTGAATGGTGCAGCGAGAGATTTGTACCCCGGAGGGACGGGTCGTCTAAACTTTGTAACACTCGCTGAGAATGTCCTAGCACGTGATAATTTTACCGCCATGATCTTGATGTTTCAATCAAACCAAATAAAGCAGGCGACGAATAACGTTCCCCGTGTCATCACGGGCATTTTGCGGGTCGGGTCTTTATCTCGGGCACTGCTCACCCACTGAAACTAAAAGAGCCCGCCTGTAAGCAAGTGATGTGAATACATCCAGGCTCTTCCTCAGAACTGCATAATTCTTATGACGTCACACGCGTTCCGGCTATACACACATTCTTACAGATGATCTGTTACAGCAACGTTCAGACCTACAGTGAACCATGACTAAAACAAGTGTAACTACGGAACCCGAAGGTTCATCACCGAACTAACCAAAGCCCTCCACCGGACCCTGTCCTGGACCAACAAAATCCAGTCTCCTTCAACTCCTATCTCCCATAGATCCCGCCTGATATTATCCTCCCATCTACGTCTAGGTCTCCCCAGAGGTCTCTTCCCCTCAGGCTTCCCGGTGCACACCTCTTGTCCCATCCATGCGTGCTACATGCCCCGCCCATCTCATTCTCATTGACTTAATCACCCTGACTTTCTTTCTTCATGGAACCCGAAAGTTCGTCACCGGACTCTATCCTGAGCCAGCTGCATCCAGTTCGCTCCATCGATTCCTGTCTCCCTAACGATGATGTGTAATCATTACGAACCTCACCACGTCATGTCCAATTTGCCAAGTGCATTACACAGCTGATACGTCTCTGTGAGGGTGAGAGAACATTTTTTCTCATCTTAAGACTTCTTCGTCACAATTCAAGACACGTGAAGGATTTCTGGAACACTTCCTTGGCCTCACATTAGCCCAATCAGCCCTGGTACAAGATACTGCTCCCAGCTTTGGAGCTGCCCAATAATTAATTTTGTGTTTCCATTACAACGCACTTGGTAAAAAAAATACTGCCCTTGCAAATCCATTATCCCTACTTCTAATGCGTTCAACAGTAATCTGCTTTTCAGCTCACCAGTTATCGGCCCATAGCACGAGCTAGCGAGCGAGCGAGGAGTTTTCATGTATTTCTTGCGATGATGGTTCGTCTAACTTTAGTATTTTCAACGATTTAATGGTAGCGTCGGTCTGGATTTCTTGTTTTTTTTTATCTCCTGTCATATTTAATTGTGAATGAGAATCGGATTTTTTTAATTTTGATTAGTCGCTTTGCAGGCCGCTCGTCACCGATTCTTCGCAGTACGGACCTCGGTCTACTTTTGTTTTCGTTCTAAGTGATGGAAATGGTCCTGTCAGTAATGTACTTTAATGCCGTGAGACTTCAATTCCTGTCGGTATGACAAGGCTTCATAATTTGAACCCTGAGGGACTCCAATATTCACGTAATATTCTGTATTTCAGTGTGGGGCTACTTTGTGGTTTAGTCATAGTACAATCACACACACGAATATGTCCGTGAACCATTTAAAGCCCTGCAACCGCTTTGGTAACCATTAACCATTCACTTTGCATCGATATGTTTCCTACAGGAACTGTTTCCTTAAATAGCATTGACCATTTCGTCTTTGTAATGGTTTTGTATTGTTCCTCATTCGAGGTATCCTACTCTGCTTCAGACCTGGGATTCCGTGGGTGCCCGAACGATGGGTTAATTCAAGTGTAAGAAGCCAGACGGCTTAACTCGTGATGTCAGAAGGAAGGAGTAATTCCATTGCCTTGTCAACCCTGAAAAACCCTTCCTGGGCCTTGGGTCTTCTGTTTATTCCCCTGATCACCGACTTCTTGCCACGCAGCGAAAGCCGATTAACGCGGGCGGGGGCTTTCTAAAATTCATGTTTTATTCAACGTAACTGACATGATTACAATTAGGAATCTGTAATGAGATCGAGACATAAGCTTTGTTTACAGGTGGGTTACCTGCTGGGAGCGATATCAGCGCAGTAGCGGCCAGCAAACGAACTGCTGCACACGTTATGTAGGCCTGTGATGTTTCTGGTCTAATTCATTAAGTCCCGTTCATTTATTTCGAATCAGACTGTACGGCTTGCCTGCGTTGTCACTGAGCGACATTCGAGAGTAACAATTCGTCTTCTGGAAGACAATAAAAACGTACTTAACCATTTATCAACATACCACTGCTGTCTGCACACCTAACCATAACAATTTCTACTGGCGTGGTGTGTTTTAAATTAATGAAGTAACTAGCTAATGGACTCTTTCTTAAGAACATGACAGATAAATGATCTAGGTTTAAAACACGTAAGATACTAATTTTGTACTGGATATCACGTAAAATATACAAAACTGTCTGCAGATATAAAAGTCCTTTATCTAAAAATTTATAACCACCTGAATCGGAAGTATTATATTGATAAAATGATGCCGAAGTTAAGCGAGGCATGTTATGCAGTTAGATGAGATCAATATTTTATGTTGTCAGTGCTGACACACTTAAATAAATCTTCTGTGCCTACTTTCAGTGTATAATGATCTGTGAAATATTTTTTGGGGTGATTTATCTAAGAGCAAAAGGGTATTTACTTCACAGAAGAAAATCAATAGAATTATGGCCGGTTTGAAACTAAGAAATTCGTGTAAAAGCCTGTTTAAGCAACTAGAAATTTTACTTATTCCTTGTGAATATATATTTTAATTAATTAAATTCATTTTCATTAACGAACTTTATCACAAATAACGCTGAATGTTTAAG